CCGATTACGGGGTCGAGGTGAAGAGGTCTTAACATGATCGGACGACTCGTTACGTGAAGCGAAGCCGGAGCGTTTTCAAGAAAAACGTTTCTCCGTATGTAGCACGAGGTATTCACGTGCCTTCTGACCCACACGAATATAAAAACAATTTACACGTGCTATTATGTTCATATATGCAGATCGGACACGACAAAGTGCGTTGCGACATATAATGAGCTTGATATTAGATTTATTTCTATGTATTTAAAGATAAATGTATCGTAAAATTAAGTTTTTTATTTAATGGTTTTTTATTATTAATTATTTTTAATACGTCATACGTTGTAATAAAATATAGAAAAATTTTATTTCGCGATTTAAATATATCCTTGGGATTGATTAGAATTACATAGTTTGGTAGGCAGGGATTGTATAAGAGGAATTGATAACAGTATGTAAATTTACAAACGGCAATTCTCTTCTAATAGTGATATTTATTGTTAATAGCTATTTTATCAACAATCGTCTGGATAACATTGTGACCGGAAATTGCACCGCTCTAAAAAAATTAATCGATAGCGAAGAGGATCGTGTAATCGTCGAGAAGAAATTCTGCGTTACGACGGACAAGTTACAAGCCGCATAAGTCTTGCGTCTCTCGAGCTAAAAAGACTAGCGGATGAGGGAGAATAAAAGTCGCTGGTCGATATCGTCGAATCATTTAATCCATAAATCTTCATTGATATGACCGTGATATCCGGCCGATCCGCTTCTGGAATAATTTATCCGGGGCTCTCGCCGCCTGCAATGGAAAAAATCTCAGCCCCATTCGCGCCGGGCCCGTATATTCATAATACGCCTTTTCTTATTAGCGTGTTAAACCTCGGAGGACATTCTCGACGCTATGAATCGCGTTTGCGAGCAAGAACTCGCAGGAAAGTCGCGTTTTGTTCCCGCGAGAGGAAATCGCGCGTTATTCCAGCCGGAGACGAGCGTCTTCGAAGAAACGATCCCACGAGAGCGAAAGAGAGAAAGAGAGAGAGAGAGAGAGAGAAGCATAGAAGAAGCGAATGGATTTGCTTGCCCTTTGCCGTCCGTGGAAAAAGGGTCGGCTCGGAGACCTTGGGTCGAAGGAGGAATGCAAATCGGGACCGGTCACGAATATTCTAATGTGCAGTTAGTCGCTACAACGACCGTGGCGAGGGAACGTCATTCTTTTCCTCCCATCGGCGCAGCAGCCACGATTGCACCCCGGGTGCATCATGCTCGCGCACCCAGAACAACTTGCGATTAGATACTTTGCGTGCCACCGAATAAGCAGGAACGGCTCGTTCGAAGCGCGAACGATGGTGTCGAATCTCGTAACGATGACGGTATCCGCATATTTTTAGAATCCTGCTGGACAAACAGGTTGTCGTTCTTTACACTCGCAACGCGATTTCCGAGATGTTGTGTTGATTAAGCTAGATATATCGGGGAATGACCGGCTGGAAAAGATCGTTATAGATTGTTCAACTTCTCCGCTAAATTCAAAACGGCATATTTGTCACGTATCTACATTTTTTAAAAGCATCAAATAATATTTATTATTGGATATATTATTTAATATTATTAATATTAGATAATATATTATTATATTATTATTATTATTATATATTATTAAGAGATATTATTTAATATTATTAATATCAGAATTTTCAATATTTTTGGTAAT